GTCTGAAAGGCAATATGGCTTCAGAAGAGGACGTTCGACGATTGATGCGGTACACGAAGTTGTGATGGCTGCTAAAAGCACAGAGAGAGGGAATCATTACTCCCGACCGATCTGCCTGTTGGTCACACTCGATGTCAAGAACGCTTTCAACTCCGTCAGATGGAAAGATGCTCTAGAAGCCATGGAAAAAGATTTTAAAATCCCGGAATACCTCATGAGAATAATGAGGAACTACCTGAAAGACAGATTTCTTCTGTACGATACGCAAGACGGACAGAGGAAAAAGGAACTCACAGCCGGGGTAGCTCAGGGATCAGTACTTGGAGCTGATGTCTGGAACATATCTTACGACGGTATTTTACGAATAAATATGCCAGAAGGGTCCTTTCTTGTTGGATATGCAGATGATGTTGCAGCAGTGATTATTGAAAAGAACATGGAGCACGCACAAATGCGTCTTAATCAAGTTATGCGAAGGATTTACTCATGGATGGATAAGCATGGATTGGAACTGGCCCTGTCCAAGACAGAAATAGTTCTATTGACGAAAAAGAGAATAGAATTCCCTATGTCTATGAGAATGAGAGAAACTGAGATCCCGATAAAGAAGGCTGTTAAATATGTTGGAGTGATGGTCGACACTAAAATGACTTTCTGGGAGCATATAAGAAGAGCAGCAGAGAAAGCAGCTGAAGTCACTACATCTCTGGGAAGACTAATGACAAATATTGACGGCCCTACTCCTAGTAAAAGACGCCTTCTACAACGCACAGCAGAATCTATCATGCTCTATGGAAGCGAAAACTACGCAGAAAGTTTAAAGTATGAAAAATATCGAAAACGTATTGCGGGAGTTCAAAAAATAGGTGCTTTGCGCGTAACCTGCGCTTATAGGACAGTGTCAGAACCAGTAGTAATGGTGATAGCAGGTATTATACCCATAGATTTAATCGCTCAGGAACGAAAATTCGTCTATGAAATGAAGTCTGTTCATGGTAAAGAAAAGGCGAAAAAAATAGCTAGAGAACGTACAATGGAAAAATGGCAAGATCGATGGGACAACGAATCAAGGGGCAGGTGGACCGCACGTGTATTAAAAGAAATTCCCTTGTGGACTAACCGGAAACACGGGGAGGTTAATTTTTATTTGACTCAATTCCTGACAAATCATGGTCTTTTCAATAAATATCTCTGTAGAATGCGTAAGGTTCCAAATAATCAATGCATCTATTGCAACTGCCAGATAGATAATGCTGAACATACATTCTATGTATGTGAAAAGTGGAAGGAAGAAAGGCAAGCAATAGAAAAAATAATCGGAAATTTTAATCCAGATACAGTAGTGCAGCATATGCTAAGAACAAAAGAAACATGGGATCTTATTGCAGAGTATGTAGAAAAAATACTTCGACGAAAAAGGAATGACTTTCAAAAAATAACAAAACATCATTGACTAAAAAAAAAAAAAAAAAAAGAAGAATGAAGAAATAAGGAGAAAATGAGGGAAGCCAAGTAGGCAAAAAATAGGCAGAGTCGAGGCACGACCAAAAGACGCCGATAACCACGACACCTGAAGTAATGCGAAAGCGGTTCCGGGAGTCATGCGAGGCGAAGAGTGAAGGGATGTTTTTATATGGACATTGTAAATGTATAAATCTGTATTTTTTACCATAACCCTTAAATAAAAAAAAAAAAAAAAAAAAAAATTGTTGTTATTGTTATTCTTATTGTTATTGTTATTGTTATTGTTATTGTTATTGTTATTGTTATTGTTATTGTTATTGTTATTGTTATTGTTATTGTTATTGTTATTGTTATTGTTATTGTTATTGTTATTGTTATTGTTATTGTTATTGTTATTGTTATTGTTATTGTTATTGTTATTGTTATTGTTATTGTTATTGTTATTGTTATTGTTATTGTTATTGTTATTGTTATTGTTATTGTTATTGTTATTGTTATTGTTATTGTTATTGTTATTGTTATTGTTATTGTTATTGTTATTGTTATTGTTATTGTTATTGTTATTGTTATTGTTATTGTTATTGTTATTGTTATTGTTATTGTTATTGTTATTGTTATTGTTATTGTTATTGTTATTGTTATTGTTATTGTTATTGTTATTGTTATTGTTATTGTTATTGTTATTGTTATTGTTATTGTTATTGTTATTGTTATTGTTATTGTTATTGTTATTGTTATTGTTATTGTTATTCTTATTCTTATTCTTATTCTTATTCTTATTCTTATTCTTATTCTTATTCTTATTCTTATTCTTATTCTTATTCTTATTCTTATTCTTATTCTTATTCTTATTCTTATTCTTATTCTTATTCTTATTCTTATTCTTATTCTTATTCTTATTCTTATTCTTATTCTTATTCTTATTCTTATTCTTATTGAAGCAGCTATCAAACAAGAAATTGAATCCCAGGACTTGGAAATCATTGTATTTTTGACAAAACCTAATAAAATTTCCGAAATGATTGCAATCGTTGAGACTAGCGAGCTAGCAGCAAAGAGGCTGCTCAACATGACAAAGATCAAGCTAGGCTGGGTAAAATGCAGAATTCGATCTAGAACCGAAGTGCCTACATGTTTCAAGTGCCTCAGCTAGGGACATCAAGCAAGAAATTGTACAGGCCCAAATCGGACAAAACTGTGTTTTAAATGTGTCGAAGAGGGACACAAGGGATTTAAGTGCAATTCAACACGATGTTGCGTCCTGTGTACGGAGAAAAAACTCGATAAGGAATTGACAAATCATGTTCCTGGAACAGGGCAGTGACATGTTTTTAGAGAAGAGCTCAGAAAAGAAAAGGAAAAGCAGAAAAGATGATCAACGTACTCCAGGGGAACTTGTACAGAAGTCGAATAGCAACTGATTTGCTGTCCCAGATCCTTCTTGAGAAACAGATTGACGTCCTGATACTATGTGATCTGTATAAAGATAGCGATAATCAAAATTGGTTTCGAGATAAGTTAGGCACTGCCGCTATCTGGATAAGAAATCCGAATAAAGTACCTGTAGACAATCATGGATCTGAAGAAGGCTTTGTATTGGTCCAGAGCGGCGATACTGTGTTTGTTAGCTGCTACTTCACTCCAAACGAAAGCATTAACGATTTCCAAAATAAATTGGACAAATTAGAAGATTTCCTTGTAGACACTAACTTACAAAAAATTGTAGCAGGTGATTTCAACGCAAAAGCGGTGGAATGGGGCATGTCATGCCCTGATTCAAGAGGTAAACGTGTGATAGAAGTAGTTGCCAGAAGGGGCCTCCTTATTCTCAACGTGGGAAATACCACTACATTTAGGAGACCGGGATATACTGAAACGAAACCTGACATTTCCCTTGCATCAGAGGAACTAGGGAAGTTCATTGAGAAATGGGAAGTGACTGAGGAATTCACTGGAAGTGATCATCAGTATATTACTTTCCAAATTAGAAGCAACAAACCCGAGAATACTTCTCTTGGAAAGATAAAATTTAAATGGAACATAGCGAAAATCAACGAAGAGATTTTTAAGAGGGAAATTAAAAGAGATGATACCATTATTATCGAAGCCCTTTGATTCGCCTCGACTAGAAAAGATACCGAAGCAGGAATAAACCTTGCTATGGATCTGTTTAATCGAACATGTGCGGTTGCCATACCCCGAAAATGGATTAAACTTAACCAAAGGCCAGTTTACTGGTGGAATCCTGAAATTGCCATGAAGAGAAAAACCTGCCTTGTACTTAGGAGAAGAGCGCAGCGTGCAAGGAAGAAGAATACTGATTTCGGTCAGAATCAATAAGAATATCTTCTTTCAAAAAAGGAGCTTATAACGTCTATTAAGAGAAGCAAACGATCCTGCTGGCAAGCTCTCGTGAACGACGTTGATAACGATCCGTGGGGTCTAGGCTATAAGATCGTAAATCGTAGACTGAGGACTTCACCTTCTAGCGTCAAGGACTACCCTACGATGGTACATATTGTGGATACGTTGTTTCCAAAACACGCAGAAGCAGTGGAAGAGGAACTTGGAGACACAGAATTAACCTTTGAACCCTTTAATGAACAGGAACTGAGTCTTGCCGTGAAAGCTCTCAAAAATAAAAATGCCCCTGGACCGGATGGTATCCCAACGGAAGTTATAAAGGTAGCTGAAAAGTGCAATCCTAAAATCCTGCTGGAAATGTTCAACAGCTGTCTGCAGACAGGATGCTTCCCAACAATCTGGAAGGAACAAAGGCTGACTCTAATTAGTAAAGGTAAAAGTGACACTAATTCTCCGTCTGGTAATCGACCACTCTGTATGCTGGGCGTACCAGGAAAATTACTGGAAAAAATGTTATAGGCACGCATTCAAACAGCCATTAAACAAGGAGGAGACCTCTCGGAAAGACAATTCGGCTTCCGAAAAGGAAAGTGCACGGTTGATGCAGTCAAAAACATTGTAGATGCTGCGCTCATTATTAAACAAGGGAACCATTTTTCACGGAAGGTGGTACTTCTAGATACGCAAGGAAGAAGAATACTGATTTCGGTCAGAAACAACAAGAATATCTTCTTTCAAAAAAGGAGCTTAGAACGTCTATTAAGAGAAGCAAACGATCCTGCTGGCAAGCCCCCGTGAACGACGTTGTTAACGATCCGTGGGTTCTAGGCTATAAGATCGTAAATCGTAGAATGAGGAATCCACCTTTTAGCGTCAAGGACTACCCTACGATGGTACATATTGTGGATACGTTGTTTCCAACATACGCAGAAGCTGTGGAAGAGGAACGTGGAGACACAGAATTAACCTTTGAACCCTTTAATGAACAGGAACTGAGTCTTGCCGCGAAAGCTCTCAAAAATAAGAAAGCCCCTGGACAACTATAAATAAATTGTAATACATTATTATTACGCATAGATTAATTGAATTGCCTATATTGTAGTACAAAAATCAATTATTTGATAATATAAGAATATACCTTCGTCAGTAACTATGAAGATTTGATGATAAATATGACAATCAGTCGAAATATGAGTGTCAAAGGTGACAGTGTAGTCGAAGATCAAATAACGAACTTAATTTGTTATATCAATTCTTGCAAAATGGGCAAGTATATGTATTTCATTATTTACAAATTTTTATAAAAAAATTTTAGAAAAAAATTTTTTTTTAACAAATTTGTTTATATGTGCAAATTGATAATCCAAAAGATGAGGGAAGGAAACAGCAGCCAGAACAGCACCAACAGTTACTAAGAAAACCACGACAACAACCACTCCAACAACAACAACAGCAACCACAACCAATACAGCATCAACAGCAGCAGCCGAAAAATCGTTATTATTATCATCATCAGCAACAGTTTATTAAAAAATTGAAAAAAAGTAAATATTAAATCAGTATTTATTATTATTATTATTTATTTCTGAAAAATATTCCGTTAAAAAAAATCAAGAAGTTTTTATTTTTTAATTTTACTTTTCGAAATGTTTATACTGGTTTATCTATTGTGTGCTATTTATTTATTTTATAATTCTTTTTTAGTTTATTACTATTTATCCTATTTATCAATTGACACATTGTTACTAAGAGTCGCGCGCGCCATGTGCTGCAGTATAAATAATTAGAATTAAGCAATTAAAAACTTCGTGCTTTTTTGTAACGGAATATTCTTCAGAAATAATATTAATTATTATTATAAAATTTATTTTTCATTTTATTATTATTTTATTTTTAATTTGCATTTTAAAAAAAAATATTTAATTTTATAAATTAAAGTGGCTATAGGCTTTTGTTTGTAAACACTAAAGTTACTTTTTCAAGTTTGATTCATTACAATATATACAATTTATTTTTTAAAAAACGCAAGCGACATGGAATTGTACGCTTCGTGGAGAATCACTTATATTTTTTCATTAATACTTTATATTTTTTGTATATAGTTACAATGAAATTTATAAACATGAATAAATAATATTATATAATTATAAAAATATAATATATATTAATATAATTAAATTTACAATATAAACTATATGTACCATAATATTTTCAGATAATTATCGTGGAAAAAAAGGAGGTTGGAAGCATCGCTCATTCAGGACAGACAACGACAGAATTGAAACAAATATGAAGTTAATTTTTTCTTCTATTTTACAAGCCACAAAACAAAAATAAATGTTAATTTATTACAATAATAGTTATTTCGATTTTTAACCCTAAAAACAGTTTTATAGCTATATTTCAGTTTTAGATTGTAATTTTTGTAAAATTATGCTAAAATGTGACTGAATAGCATTTAATACCCAAGTATAAAAAGTTTAGAAACAATCTGTTAAGAAATGAATAATATGAAAATTTTTGATTTTTCGAATTTTTAAAAAAGTAGCATATCTTCGATACAAATTAATAGTTTTTAATTGGGTATGACTAACATTTTAAGTTAGCCTAATACCTAAGAGACTGTCAAGTACTATTCATTATTTGATAAAGTGAAAGAAAATATTAAAAAAGTTGTAAAATGAACTATAAAAAACAAAAATTTCTTAAAATCGTCATTTTTCACTTCGCGTGAGGTGTCTAACAACTCGAGTTTTTCATTGTAGGACTAATTATAAACAAACTTATTAATTAATGCAGGATTGGGCATAAACAATCAACAATGCAAGATACAAAAATTTTTATTTTAAACATAAATTTGACACTAGATTATTGTTATTTAACAATTTAAAAAGTTAAATATTGGAAAGAAAAGAAAATAAATTTTCAATTATATTTGAAATTAAGTAATAATTATTTAATTTAACAAAAAACTGTTTGATCTTTTTTTAAATAATAAAATATATAAATTATACATAATTATATAAATTTATTAACAATTAATACAACATATTAGATTAAAATAATTAATATCAAATACATTCCTTATTCTGGTAGCATAACATACACATAATTAAAAATAAATTATTATAATTTTCATCAAAACAAAAGTCTATTGTCTGAACTATTAGAATAAAAAATATTTATATAATGAAGTCGTTCATCATTAATTCGTAACTAAAATTTTCACGTACTTAGAAACAATACAGATTTTAAAGTGTTAACACAAAAATTTTTTATGGCTGAAAAGCGAAATATGGAAAGCTCTAAAAACGAAAATTACAAAAAAAAGATAAAAATTAATGAAAGTGAAAGAAGTGAAAAAGATGAAAGTGAAGAGAAATTAAATATTATAAATTTTCCAGATTTGGAATCAATAGTTACGACGGAAGTAAATTTAAAATCAAAATTTAACAAAAACCACTTTAATGAACTGTATAAATTAAATAATTTATAATGGAAAGTAAATTAATTTATTACATTCATTAAATTTTTTAATTGTAACAAATACGATTTATTTGGTTAAAAAATTGAAATTCAAGTCATTAGAATTAAAAACATAATTATTGGATTAAACTAAACAATTTTGTATACAAGGAAATATTTTTCAAATAACTTTAATTAATTGAATAAAATAATTTTTATATAATGATTTTAAAAAATTAAGTAGTTTATTATAGTTTTTTTAAAAAAAAATGTGCTTATTTACCATGATATTTTTTTTCATGTTCATAAGATTATCTTTTTTTGAATATGCTTTTTTTGATTGTCGATTTATTAAAAGTTATATTGAAATATTGTAAAGGAATGTTAAATATTATAAAATAATTTCGTGGCTGAAAGGTATAACTGCATTTATCATGATTTTGACAAAAACAAATTTTCATGTCATTTTAGTTGTCTGAAATACAAAAATTTACAAACGTTTTTTGGATACCATTTAGTATAATTATTTTAGGTATTTTTAAAATATGTTCATCCTTTTTAATAAAAAGCACGAATAGCAGAAAATTTTTAGAAAATTTTAGACTGCACTCTACTTCTAATGTACTTATGCGATTATCCAGGCATAGTTTACATATGTAATCAACTTTACTCTGCTTTGTTAATGCTTAATTTTCTTTTTATTGAATACATTATTTATAGTTATTTTTTAAATTTCAAATCCATAAGCATAACATACATATGTATTCAACAATTTTTTTCGCTTTTTTTTAATAAAAACTTTTTACATTTTACGTCAACCAGGGCAATTAAGGTATATCAAATCTATTTTATAGATATTCTGGAGTACATTAATAAAAGAGTAAAAATTATTTTTTTAAAATTAAAAAAGTTGTTTAAAATTAAAACATTATGCCAACAACTAAAGGTACCTTATTTGAAAGTTTTAAAAATTATATTTTTCAAGAACCACATATTGTTTTAGATTAAGTAAATAACACAATATAATTTTTTCTAATATTTTTAATTTATTTTTAGAAAAAAATTTGAAAATAAACTTAAAAATATCGTAATACTAATGAATATTAATATGTTAATAATATTAATATTAATAACCCATTTATATAGTTTTTTCCATCTTATTTATAATAATAAATTATGACCATAATTTACTTTTTTCAGTTCTCTAATAATAAAGTATCATAAAAACGTATCAAAATGATCCACTTTAGAATTACACTGTGCTAGAAAAAAGTACTTTTCTGGAACATACTTGGCTTATAGTGCATTAACCTAATTTGGATACGCTGAATTCAATGCCGTTATCCATTTTTAATGATCGAGTCTTTTTTAAATAATCGACATTTTCTTTTTTTTCCATTATCATAATAAAACATTTTTTCTAATCAAAAGAATGACATTAAATTAACAGTCGTTACACTTTTCTCTTAACTTCTTCACTGCTAAAGAAAAAATTGATACTGTGGTCTCAAAATTTCCAACAAATTCTGGTCCACAAATTTTTATAAAACTTTGTTTATAAAGTTTTATTGGGTCTCTGAATTAAAAAAAAATTTGGTGATTTTTATATGTTTTTCAATTGTTTATTAATTAAAAATAATAAATAAACATTTAATTATTACTTAAACAAATATTATTGATTCCTGTTGTGTGCGAATAATGATATTAAAGAATTTAATTTACAATTTAAATACAAAATTTCATTTATTTTGTGTTATGTTATTTTGTTTTGTGATGAACACGACAAAACGTATGTGTCGCTGACAGTTTGGGCCTGTATTTTTTCACGACACATTGTGTGTGTCGTTGATAGTAAAAGGGTTTAAATATACAATAAAAAGTTAGCAAAAATCGTATAAATCATCAAAAATACATTGACAACACTTACCTGCAATATTTTGTGAAAAACTCAAAAACTTTATGAAAAATTCTATAAAATTTGCGCATTTCTGAAAATGTTAACCTAATTTTCGCAAATTTACAACTTTTTCTGCATTTTGTCAAAAAATTAAAAAAATACATTCAGTGACATCAGTATAAAATTAATCAGACAATATTTACTCAAAGCGACAAACTCAAATATTTAAAATCAAAGAGTTTATTTATTAAAAACTAGCATTATTCATGATATCCCCTGGGATGACAGAATAGCTTCGGTTGACAGTTTTAATTTTTTTACGCAAATAGCATGTAAAATACATCTCATTTACAAATTTAAGCCAAAAACAAATAAGTCCCTATGTAGTTCGTAATATTATAAACATACTAAAATGTTCGCCTACTGGTATTATTTCTTTAACCCCTTGAGTGCCAATGGCAAAGATCTTTGCCATTTCGAACTTTCCTCTGAGTGCCACGAAACTGACAATCTTTGCCATGGTAAAAATTGAAATAAAAAAGTCAAAAATAAAAAAAAAATTTTTTAAATGATTTTTAGGAAGTCTGAGATATAGAGAAAACGATGTCCGTTTCCGTTTTTAAATTAAATAAATAACAAAAAAGTTAAAAATTATTAAAAACAACGTTTTTGGCAAAGTTTTCAAAATCTTTGCCATGAACAGTGCAGTCCATTTGCTTTTTAAAAACGGCTGAAATCGCTTGAAACTTGTTACTCAGGGGTTTTTGGGGTCGCTGATTACGAATCAGAAGTCACTTTTTCAAAATTCAAAATGTCCGATCGAATATGGCGGACGATTTTATAAAAATTGATTGGATTTACCTGAAAATTGTCACTCGGGGGTTTTCGGGGTTGCTGATAACGAATCTGAAATCAGATTTTCAAAATTCAAAATGGCCGATCCAATATGGCGGACGATTTTCTAAAAATTGTTTAGATTTACCTGAAAATCGTCACTCGGGGGTTTTCGGGGTCACTGATTCCTAATCTGAACTCAGATTTTTAAAAATCAAAATGGCCTATCCAATATGGCGGACTTTTCAAGATATTTGCAAATTTTCATACTTTTGGAACACCGTGTATATCACTGAATTG